AAGCATTGCCACAAATTACTACCAGCCAAATAAAATTTAAAGAAAAACCAAGGCCATCAAGAACAGTGAGATGGCGGGTACAGACATCTCACTTGAGTGACGAAAGCTGTAAAGTGTTAAGGAATAATACACAGAAGAGAGAAAACCAATACTTCAGAACGATCAGGGCTTATTTTAATAGCATCTTAGGCTAAATTTCTAAGGTAGCTATTAAGGTATCAGTTAAGGGAGATATGGGAGTCATGGTCAAGTACAATATAAAAGGTTCCAACTTCACTTTTTTTTTTTGAAAAGTAATAAAGCAAAAAAATGTGCTGATTTAAATTTCATCTCCTTTTCCTTAGTCTGTCCATGTGAATGTGCTGTGTGGAAGAGTAAAGGGCCCAACTAAATGTGTTCCAGTGATTCCAATAGGTATTCCAAATTAATTGCTGCTTGTACATTTAACACTTGTTACATTGAGCTTCCAGGATCACCTTAATTAAAATTCCCCTTATTTAAAGTAGATGGGGGAAAGGGAGAAATTTGGTAGCCAGATGGGTAGGTTCCATAACAGGAAAACGTGTTTTCCTGGTGATTTCTCCTTCACATACCTGAAGTGGAGAGTTGGTGGCAATTGGCGGTCCTCTTGCATAGGTTTAAGGTAGTATATGCAGGTAGAGCCCAGCCTTTTTAAGATTAGAGCCTCATTCTAATTCATTCTGTTTCTCTCTGCAAGACATTTGTTACAGTGCCCTCCCTACTGGTAGAATTTAAGTTTAGTATTCTAATGCAAAAGAAAAAAAGTCTATAATATCTATGTTCTTAGTTTCCCCAAAACTTTCTGCCTCTATAGTAAGTGCATAAATAGAAAAGTGTGGAAAGACATTGAGATCCTTTTGGACAATGAAGTGATATTCTAGGAAGTAAAATGAAGTTATAAGAAGGCTCCTTGTGAGATTTGCCAGTCCAGAGTATGTAATGTCTCACTGCCCTGACTTTTAAAACTTGATAAGGAGCTCAGCGGAAATTTACTTTTCCTGCTGCTGCATGCTCCATAATACCGTATTTTGGTGAATTGAGAGAACCTGGGTGCTACACTGATTTGAAATGTAGCTCAGGGTTTGCTCAATGAAGTAAGAGTTCTATTCAGTCAACCAAAAACAATCTAATGGCTTCTGAAGAACCCACAACACAGTCGCAGAGTAAAAAAAAAGTCATAATTACTACCGTTCATCTGAGAAAACGAAATTATAAAAACATTTGTTTCCAAAATGAGCTTTGGATTTAAACAGTGAAAACACTTCATTTCCCATGACTCTTCCTCGTGGAAAAACCATTTTCATGGAAATTCATCCTTTAGGAAACCAGCCCATGCAGATCATTTACTTTGACTCTTCCCCCCAACCCCCAAAGGCAGAACTTAATGGAAACGGGTATCGTCTGTTAAATGGATCTACACTTTTAAAGTGAACAGTTCGTGCTCCTACTGCCACTGATAGCTTTCTCAAGATAGAAATACTTGAGGAGAAAGTCATCCTGATTCTAGAAAATGAAGAGGAAGGCAAATGCAGTGTTTCAAAGACTGTTACAACATATTAACCTGTAGTGCTCATGTAATACTTTGAAAAATGCCTTCGTAAGTTTCTCATCCCTAAAGCTTCCCTTTTAAGAGGAACTTTAAATGGAACTTAATGCACAAAATAAGTGTGTAAGAGAACAGTATTTGGGTGGTAGAGGATATTGATATATTACACCGACCTGATTTGATGACCACCGGACCATATTTCAAGATGCTTCCAAAAATACTTTATTCTAGAGGACCGTTAAAAGTCAATTACAGCAATCGTTTTAATTTTTCTACTTTCCTCACTAAGGTTTTCTGCTTACCCAAAGCAGTGTTTTATATATATATATATATATTAACATGACTTCTAAAGGGGTGCCTTGACCCCCATCTGCAACAGATTTTTATCTAGGAATAGGAGGAGTCAAACCCTATTTGATCCCTAGCTCTGTGCTGCAAAGTGCATAAACAGGAGTCCTGAATTTATTATGTAGACCTCCTCGCATTATATAATGGAAGCAAAGGGAAACCAGCGATGGAGTAGAGGTACGTAGACTGAAGAGGTGCTTGCAAATCAAATAATGTACTAGGCATAATCAAAATTTCTTGGTGCCCAACTTGGTGAATATCAATCACAAGTCCAGAGAAAAGCTTAAGTTAATTTTAATTCCCTGAGGTCCTTTTACTGAGATATAAAAGCTAGTTGTTGAGGAAAAGCAAAGGGGAGGGGCAAGGGACGGGGGAAATGCATAAAGCACTAGAAAGCTGAAGTAGATATGCTAGATGTGCCACAAGAAGTTTTTAAAACTAATGACCACAATTCTATTTTAATCAGCTATTTAGCTGGTACCTACGCTATATCACCTAGTGTGAAATTTTGGAATAACGGAACAGTGACGGAAGCTGTGCAGCTGGAGGCTCCAGGTGGGTCTGCAGGTAGGTTACTTTTTCAGATTAAAGTTTGAAGTGTGTGTTTGGATGTGAAGGGAACCTGGTTTCTGTCCATTTGCTAGTGAACATTTAGTAATTCACTTTAACAAACATGTTGACTCTTAAGATAAAAATTGATAGGGTTCTTGACAGCAAGTCAATGGCCAATGAAAGTGCCTCCTCCTGTAACAGAGAGGAAGTGGGAGAAAGGTATTTGAAGTGAAATGAAAAGGTTTGAGCAGGAGTATGAATTCAGGTCATGGTGGCCTAAGGTGCACTGAAGAGAGAATTGATTGGGACTTGAATTTGGATGGCAGAGTGGAAATGGTTTGGAAAGGCTAGAAGTGGAAGTGTGAAGACCTACATGGAGGCCTTTCAAACGTGTCCAGGAGCAGTGTGATAAAGGACCTGGAGCGTGTTAAACATGGTCTTAATTCATTTCATACATTTTATAACATCTTTCTCGTTAAAAAACTACGAAGTATTGATGATCATGTAAACTTCTGAAGTCATATTTAAAAAGTAGTCTAAATAAGTATGTTACACTTCCTGTTTTTATTCAGGTCTCCAATTTATGAAATTCTGCTGTGAAAATGAAAACTAACCTTGTTACTGGTGAAGATCTTGGAAATTTTTTTACCAGCTGAGAGAGACTTCTCTCTCACCCCGGGTAAGATGTAATAGTAGTATGCTAGAGCTAGAAGGGGCTTTAGTGACTGAATACAATTTATGTATTTATAAACTGAAACTAAGAACATAACATATATTACTATATTTCTTAAATATCAGATTTTAGTAGTACTCATCACTTTTCCCCCCAGCTCCTGCAGCCTTCCTCTTCTGCCTCTCTAACATAAGTGTCACATCATGGAATTTTTTAAACATANGTACTCATCACTTTTCCCCCCAGCTCCTGCAGCCTTCCTCTTCTGCCTCTTAACATAAGTGTCACATCATGGAATTTTTTAATAATATTTGGTCATGGTCATTTGAATAACATAGACTGCATTCAGCATTGATTTGTATCAGAGTGGACAGGAGTTCTTGCCAACTGCATTTTCCTTTCTAATAACCTTCCCTAATCAATGCCCAAGACCTTCCTTTGGTGGCTGCCAGATGATTAGGATCAATAAAAATCTGTTAGGACAGGTGCTTGACAGTGTCATTGACTAGTCTAGTAGGTATGGCATTTGGTAAACTACATAGTCTATGCACCCTGACCCTCAGGGGGACAGCCACAAGGAGGTGGGCATGGGAGGAGAAATGCTCTCGCTTGAGCTGAACTGGAACAAGTCCTACTTAACCCTTTGTGAGGGGCTACAGAACACCATTTCCTTGTTCTTACTTTTTTAAACTCATCATAAAAGTCTAGTAATAGGACCAGCAATCATGCCATAATCCGGTCCTCTTTCATATTTATCGTTGCTTAACCAGGAAGACCTCTAGCTTGTATTTTAACAAGATTTTTTTAAAAAGTAATGTTATTTATTAAAACAATAAATATTATCATTGCTTCGGAAAGGGAGAGTTTTTCCNGGACCAGCAATCATGCCATAATCCGGTCCTCTTTCATATTTATCGTTGCTTAACCAGGAAGACCTCTAGCTTGTATTTTAACAAGATTTTTTTAAAAAGTAATGTTATTTATTAAAACAATAAATATTATCATTGCTTTGGAAAGGGAGAGTTTTTCCGTTTTTCCTGAATGAATAAATGCTGTGGACTTGGTTGGATATTGGGTGCTTTTTTTTTAAAAGTTATGGCAGCAGACTGAATTATAAATGTCTTATTTATGTCCATGTAATACTATNTTTTTAAAAGTTATGGCAGCGGACTGAATTATAAATGTCTTATTTATGTCAGTGTAATACTATGTAATCTGGCAGTTTGAAAATATTTTTTACATACTATGTGCATATTTAAGTTTTACCGAAAAAAAAAAAACACAAAAAACCCCTGCATACTTCCAAAAAAATAGAGTAATTAAAAACAAACTTTAACTGTTGTAAGAAGTGGATACATTTAAAAAATAATTTGCAGTGATACAATCCATAATTAGGTGNTGTAATCTGGCAGTTTGAAAATATTTTTTACATACTATGTGCATATTTAAATTTTACCGAAAAAAAAACAAACAAAAAACCCCTGCATACTTCCAAAAAAATATTTAGAGTAATTAAAAACAAACTTTAACTGTTGTAAGAAGTGGACACATTTAAAAAATAATTTGCAGTGATACAATCCATTATTAGGTTTAAGTCTTATACTAGCATTGGCTTAAAGAAATCAGGAAGTATTTCCTCATTTTTAATGATACAGTAATATGATTGTGTTTTTGTTTTTAAGGCAAAATTTTAACATCCAACTGGGTGATTGTATTTCTTAAAATGACATCATTTATACTCACTACAAGGGAACTTTTCTAAGCATGCTGAACACTAGGTTTATTTTGTTAAAGTATGGCAAATCTATATGCTATACGGACAGTAGATAACAGGGCCAGAATAAGTCCATAAAATGTTCCTTTAAGTGAAAAAAGACTACAGCTTACACATACTTTATTTACTTGATTGAAAGCCGCCTTATGGTACATAGGATGTTTTACATAGTTGATCTCATCTTGGTTCACACTGACGCCAGTGAGTTGTATTTGGGTTCTGTGCTCGAATCTGTTCAGGTGCTGCTGCTATTGCTGGTTTGTGTTCTTTCAGGATCAAGGTGGGTACTTTCATATAAAATCTTATTTTTAATTCCTTCTCTGGCGAGTCTTTCCTGGATTCTTAGCTTTGCATAATTATACCTACAGTGGAACCTTGGAAAAAAGAATATGAATAAATCATTAACATAAAATTCCTGTAGAAACATTTGAAATTTTAGCGTAATAAAATGTAGGAATCCTTACAGATGAGTACCCTGAGACTGACAATATAACCATTCTAATGTGGTGTGCTATTTTTGGGTGGCTTGGTGTCAAAGATACCTATGAACACATTCTTTTATTACTAAATGAGGATTTCTATCACCTTAGCTTAATTTTACTTGTAGAGCCTCATATAAGTGGAACCAGTACTTTGGGTCTGGCTTTCTTTGCTGAAGAAAATAGATTTCATAGTCCATGCTGTATCAGTTGTGAACACATTCTTAAAGTAACATCGGATATGGTGCTGTAAGCAGGGATGAAATGGGCATTAGGGTAGGATGAAGGGTGGAGGCCTTCCTAAAGGAAGTACTGGTATTCATGGCATGTCTCATGGCATGCAGTCATCTATTCATTCAACAAATGGTGTATAAAGTCTAAGTACATACAGACTGAAAGGATTAAGACCTTCCAACAATACCATTTTTAAAACAACCGAAGGTGGGAGAGCATGCTTTGGAATTGGATAAACCCATTCTTATCGTGGGTCATCTCAAGTACTTAAACACATACCAGAATCCTAAAGTCACCACGATAAATCCTCCTACTCCAACGTCACATGATCTTCTAATTCTGCCTGTCAGAAAGCACAGCCACTATAATCATCATATATGACATTACCCCATCTAGAAAGTAATTGCTCACCACACACAGATGTGTGTTACTTACACAGAAAAACAGATACTCACTAGTTAACAAAAAATGTCCAAGGCCAGCCACAACAGATCCTAATGAACCATATAATACTGAGTCCCGTGCACAGGGAATGTTCTGGACGTCTAAAATTCCTAGGAGCTTAAAGGGCTAGGATAAAACAAAAAAGAACCTAGATTGAAAAAGAAAGTACTGTACATCACAGTGGTTTGGCAAAAATTAAACTAGGATATGTGCTATGTGATGAACAGGAATCAATCCATTTACATTGACTTTTTATAATCAACTGGTTTGNAGTACTGTACATCACAGTGGTTTGGCAAAAATTAAACTAGGATATGTGCTATGTGATGAACAGGAATCAATCCATTTACATTGATTTTTTTTTATAATCAACTGGTTTAGAAAAGCACATTTTATGAGCTATTTAAACATCTGTATGACTAGATTTTATTGGTGTTAATGAGGTGAACGTCAGTTTATAAGAAATATTCATGGAAAGATAAATGTGGGCATAACTCCTAGGAAATTGCACTTGATTGTATTTATCTTGTGGCCCTCAACTGAGGGCAGGACAGACATTTAAGAAAAAGGCACATACAGGTTTCACTGTGGCATTTCTCTTCAATAAAGTAGAAAACCATACAAGTTTTCAGTAAGAGTTTTTAAAAGGAAGTTATTTGTCCATTTGAATGGTGGTCTAGTGTGAGATAAGACCTTAACCAAAAGGCTGAGGAGGGTTCTGTAGAAGTAGGTAATAAAAGGGGGAAACAGATTGGAAGACACTGAAACAAGAACATAGTCCTGATTGTATTTTTCTCCTGTTTGCTTCTTTGGCTCAGGCTTCTGCTAGAAAAGACAAAATGTGTGACCTGGTTCATAATAAAGCAAAAATTACATACTCTCTTGGATCATTCTCATTTTTCTTTGGAGCGCTTTTTAAAAATCTTCATATACAAAGAAGTTGGGGAATTTGAGTTCTTGTGGGGTTTTTCATTTCATTTAGCAGAAAATTCAGTTTCTCATCCTGTCAACTCAAAAGCCCAGTGGAACCTACAGTTGAAGATGAGGGTGTGAGCTGCTCTGCAGGTAGGGACTGTTGGGTTCTGCATTGCAGTCCAGGACTAATGCCCCCACCTCCGATGCAGCCTATTTCCCCAGGGGAAGGACGCCTAAGGTGCTAAGGCTGTAGAGGGTGGTGTTTAGTAGTGCCATCCTTTATAGGTCCTAGAAGCAAGTGAGATCAGCAGCTTCTAAGGTGGGGTACAATGTTGTGATGGCTTTCATTGCAACATCACAGCGTGCCAAGCACCACACACCACCAGAGACCACTAAAGTTCCTTTAATGCCTCTGGGCTTTTAAATCTGGGTTCCC